AATTCATTCTTTGGTTTTATATTTAAAAAAAAAAAAAAGAAGTCTTAGATGTTTGTGTCCACTGCAGATTTATTTTAAATGGAATATGTAAGTACCATGTATTATGGTATTTTTAAATAATCTATTGCCTATTTCAGGGGAGGGGGAGATGACAAATATTTAGTCTTAGATTTGCACTGCTGGATTTTTTAAGTGTAACCTTGACTGGTTATCCTATTGTTTTATTCTGTAAGATTAGTCTTATGAATTAAAGTTTGATAATTAAGTATTTCTGCGTTTGAGTGTTTCAACATTCTGTATGTACTAAGCTACTTCCTACCGCAGGAACAACTGTTAGCAAGCGGTTTGTAGTTAGTTTCTGTGAACAAAGCTGGACGCGGGTGGAAATCCATGGGAACCTGTGCTCGTTGTCACATCTGGTGCCATCAGTGCCTTTCTCCCAGGGTGGGGATTTGGGTGTACTGCTGCCAGGTACCACTTCATGCAAAAAGGCTGTGAATTACGGGACAGTTCTCTAGTTCCCTGTCAAAACCAGGTTTAATTTTGTTTTAAACTGTAGATGTCCGTGTTGTGCTGAGAGTGCTCAGCTCTAAGTTTTATGTGTAGGAAGTTTGTTGCGATGTCGAGTCCCACTCCTGTGTAACAGCCCACAAAAGGCAGGTGCTCAGAAGGCTGCTCTACTGGGGCTCACGGCAGACTCTGCTGTTTAACGCTTAACAGATGCTGCTCCTGTTTGCCGCTGGCTTTGGAAACTTTCTCTACCCCACCCATTAAAAGAAACAATACGTTCAGACAGTTCAATAGTGTTATCACTGAAATAAAGTTCAAAATATGTGATAGGTAGTCCACCTAACATGTACAAATTGGCAAGTTCTCGTTCAGTTTAGTATCTAGGTGTGCCCTGACCATAAGGGGCAATATAATAATTCACGGGGGGGGGAAGTTGAATCCAACTGAAAATCCCCTTCAACTCCATTTTGTCTCTTTGGGAAGAGCTCTTTCATAAGCACCAGTGCCCTCCTTTTTCTTGAAATGAAGTTAAAGATTATTTAGAGTGCGTTAGTGTGTAAGGCCTCCAGGAAGAGCCCTCCACTTCCCCACATGACTAGGTGCTGCAGAGGGGATGGTGGGAGCTGGGTCCAGTGCCCGCCCTGGAGCTGGTACTGGTGGGGCCAGGGTCAGCAGGCACTGCTGAGTGCGGAGTAGTGATGGGGGATCACAGAATCATAGAATGGTTTAGGTTGGAAGGGACCTTAAAGACCATCTAGTTCCACCCCCCTGCCATGGACAGGGACACCTCCCACCAGCCCAGGTTGCTCAAAGCCCCGTCCAACCTGGCCTTGAACACCTCCAGGGATGGGGCAGCCACAGCTTCTCTGGGCATCTCAACACCCTCACAATGAAGAATTTTTTCCTAATATCTAATCTAAATCTCCCCTCTTCTAGTTAAAAACTGTTACCCTTTGTCCTATCATTACATTCCTTGATCAAGAGTCCCTCCCCAGCTCTCCTGTAGCCCCTTTAGGGACTGGAAGGGGCTCTAAGGTCTCCCCAGAGCCTTCTCTTCTCCAGGCTGAACAGCCCCAACTCTCTCAGCCTCTCCTCACAGCAGAGGTGCTCCAGCCCTCAGAGCATCCCCGTAGGCCTCCTCTGGACCTGCTCCAACAGGTCCATGTCCTTCCTCATGCTGGGGGCTCCAGAGCTGGATGCAGCACTGCAGGTGGGGTCTTACCGGAGCGGAGCAGCAGGGCAGAACCCCCTCCCTGGATGCCCTCACGCTTTGTCCCGCCTTACCAGCCAGAGGAATTTTTCCCAGAACGGTGTTGAAACCGCTGGGACGGGGATGGTGCCCACGAAGGGGGCGGGAGGGGATATGCTGAAGACGAGATTACGGATCCTTGCTCTCATGCGAAGGTACCGGGAACCCGACGGGGGATGTCGGGGTTGTCCGGGGGCGCTCTGCC